GATGTCTCATCGATATTATATATAATTATGGGCATACCTTTCTCTTTCATTCTAATTAAGATAAGTAATACTAATTATGTGTCTTGACACTAGCTTCGCTATAATATCAAAAAATAATGATTTTTATTGCTATATACTGGATTTTTATTCTAATGAAACGCCAAAGATAGTCACAGATTAGGTATCTGTATCTGATTCACTATTCGTATCTGAATACCAACCAATAATATCAAGAGTAGAATTTTTACTCTGTAAGGTTGTAATTGCATTTGTACTAATTTTCTCGCAATCCTCAATGACAAATTTCTGGAGATTACACAAATTTGCTAATGCGGACATAGATACATTACTAATATCACAACATTCAAGTTGGAGGCTTTCAAGGTTAGGGCAAAGCTGTGCTATCTCGCAAATAGACTAATCAGATACGATTTCACATCCATTAAGATATTTAAAGTTCGGGTTAGATTGTGCAATTTTTTTAACTGATATATCAGTAATCCCTTCACAATTCACCAACTCATATTTTTGCATATTTGGACGTGCTGAAGCAATTGCGCACACCTTATAATCAGTTATTTTTTGACAATCAATTAAACTTAGACTGTGAAGTTTTGAACATGATTCAGCAATCTCGATCATAGATGCATCAGTAATATGCTCATTATATCCCAATTTTAGGTGATGCAAATTAGCACATGAATGAGCAACTACTCTCAATGATATGTCAGTTATCTTAGAAGAGCAAAGTTTCAGATACTGTAGATTTGGACATGAATTTGCGATTCTACATAAAGTTGTATCCTTTATATTATTGAAATTACTAGATCGTTTTATAACTTTACTATTGTGCATAACATTAAGAGATTCCAGACAACAAATTTGCACAATCTTACTAATAATTTTATCAGATAAACCATGACACTATTTGATTTTTAGATGGCATAAATTGGGACAGGATTTAGTAATTTCATATAGAGTTTTATCTGAGACTTTACAACTAGAGATATGAAGTCGAAGTAAATATAAAGCATAAGGTTTTTGATTCCCACACATTACCTTTTTGAATTTACTCCATTATATACAAGATTTTTTTAGATCACCAGTAAATTCGGCTCTTCTCCATAATATTGGGGCACCATTTCTATACCATAACCGGTTAACGAATAAGGTCGGGTATAATATTGAATCTGATCAACGTCGTGGTGGTCGTCGTGGTGAGGGGTACCCTTATGTCAAGCAAAAAACGGGGTATTCCGCTATTAGAAGATCTGCACTCTCTGCTCGTCAACCAATAGGAGTGCACAAATTTTTAATCAGCCCGGCAAAACAAGAAAATGAAAATTGTGAAAAATGTGAAAAACACAGGAAGGTAATGCTTAAATCTAGCTTGATACACTAATAAAAAAATGTTGGTGAGGTAATTTTATATATAACCTTGTTCTCCACTCTAACCCTAACCCCAAGCTTATAGTGTTAAAATATAGTATTTCCGGATCAGAGGTAGTTCGGAGGCCGTTTTTGCTTGACATAAGGGTAGTCTGGTGATGTTCGTGGTAGTGATGGTCGTGGTGATCGTCGAGGGGGATATCACGAAGGTCTCCGAGGAGATCGTGGGGGTCGTAATTAGAAAATTACAATTTATGTTAATCGCGTATATATTTTTGTAATTTTCTTATTAGTCACTTAATATATTTTTGCTGAATTACGTGATTTTTATTATAAGACCAATTTACAAAGAAAGTAATATTAGTCATGAGGATTGGGCATTGCTATACTGTATGTCAGTCATTTTAATTAGACACTGAACTTATAAAATTTTTAAAGTCCAGTGGTCCGGTGGCTCAGTTTTTTTTATGTCTAGTCCAACTCTGTACTCTATTCAACTTCTCGGTAGTGATTGGCCCATTCAAAAAATCCTTAATTGGTTCAAATTCAGCGATAACTGTATATAATTTATTGCTAACCCTGAATTAATATAAATTTAATTAATTATTGTTGCATGTGTACTATTCTCAAGATAAATATCTTCTTATTTATAGTCGCTACTTTAATAATGGCAATTAAAAAGAATAAAATCAGCAGATATATACAGTGACTTCTATAATTATTGCACCACAAGAAAATTTATAGCACTTAAAAAAGTAACATTTGAAATTTTTATTTTTCGCGTTTATCTTTTGCTTTTTATTATTAATTTTTTATATTTGTTATTAGTTTTAGAATAAATTGCGCCGGGTCATTTTGCACTATTACTTGCGATTTAGTGATAACGATAACAGAAGGTAATAAATTTTAACTAAAGATGAATACAAAGTGTTGAAATTATTAATAAAATATTGCAACCACTCAATTGTTTAGGTGCTTCCTTTGGAAAGTTTATTAAAAATTTGCACATATTTGTTTTTATTATATAGCTAATAAATTATTTGATTGAATAAATAGGATATGGAAATATAGTAATTAAGGCTACGTATCTAAGCATAAATGTAAGTCGCGAGAAATGTCTCCATAAAGGTTTGAGGTTGAAATACCACATTTCTAATATTATTAGTTGTGTTAATTACTAATCAAGTACATGTACCACATTTCTAATGTTATTAGTCATATAAATTACTAAATCGAGTATATGTAAATAGAAAATACGTATGGTGCACCAACTACGTATAAATTGTGTATCGGTTCGGCATTTTAAACGTTTTGTAGGAAGCAAATACAAAATCTAATCCACAAATATTATTTGGAATTGCTTTCTAATTAAAAGCTCATAAAATTTTAACGTGCAATTTTTTGTTGATTATAGGATTGGCGCACAACTTTTTCAAATTATTGTATATATGTATTGTATATGCTTTGTCACATCTGCAAGTTTTTACAATTTCGATATTTTAATTAGGGAATTGGGTCATTTCTACTTAAATAACCTCATAAAATTAATTATTTGTTCTTGCTAATTTTACTTTGGCTGGTTCAAGAATTTGCATTCTAATAAAGTCGCTATAATAGCAGGCAGGCCTAAAAAGGAACCGTTGATAAACAAAGAAGCGAATTTAGCAAAAGGAGCTACGTAACTTGTTATGTAGTTGCTGTGCTAAATATTAACAAGTGAAGGCGAAAAAAAGGGCAGATCATGTTATTCAGATCCCAATGCCGGCCATCCGATATGCCTCTTAAATTATGATAATATTAGTTAAAGTTTCGATTAGAGTTAGGATTAGGATCAGAGTTAAGGTTATAATGATCAGAAGACACAGTGTATACAAAATTTCGCAAGAAACATTTTTATTAGAGCACACAAAAGATAGTTTCATAAGCAAAATTTCAAGATACGTACATGTACAAGCTACGTATTTTTCAAAAATATGCATTTGTTTTGAATTTTTCCGTTGCACATTGATCTTGCGATTTGATTTGTGCATAATTTTAAGGGGCAACATTGGGATCGGAATCACATGACCTGCCCCTTTTTTTCGCCTTCACTTTGTTGTGCTAAATAGAGTTCCCGCTGCTGCTGCGAAAGAGTTGATCGTCCGGTGCTTTCTACTCGCTTACATACCTAACTATATTTCTTATACGTATTTCTAAATTCTAGTGTAATTCCTTAAAAACACGTATTGTCTGGTATTTTAGCTATGTAAAATATTATGTCAAGATACAGAAAAAAATCTCCAAGTCAGACACAAATTTATTTTCTAATGTGAATTGTGTTCAATTAACAATTTCATGTGCATGTATTATTATGTACATGTATATCGATACATATTGCAATTATCGTTATACAAAAGATTATCTCGCCGGTTATTTGCCCAGATAAGGAAAGCTTATCGATACAGTGATATCGATATCTGTAAAGATTTACGTACATTCAAACTTGTACTGTATTTACAAAATATTTTGCAAGAGTAACAGCAGTTTACATGTACATATCATGTATTATCAAAAATCGTCTGCGTGATGTTTATAAAAAACGTCTACGTATTTGCATTTACGTACATTATCCAAAAAATTATTATAAAATTACATAATATATATATTCACTACTGTATTTTATTTTGAATTAAAAAGCAATTATTTACAAATTGTTTAAAATTCGCTTTAAATATTGTTTTTATTAATATGATAGTGTATCGGTTTTTTATTATCCACCGCATTCAAAACCCTTCATTAAAAGAGAATAACACAAAGTCAACAAATTTTTATTAATTATTAAAAACAGTAAATTTTTGGTCTTATAAAGTTTTCCTTGAATTATATCGAATACCTTTTACATATACAAAATCCGTTTTGAATAAGTTTCATTAAAACTTAATTTTAATAACGATGTTTGTTTCCATAAGCTGTTTATTCCATTCTACATGTACTTATCGTTATTACATGTATTACGTTAAGTTTTTTTATGCATACGTAGCGGTAGTACGTATGTATATTTATCATACAGTCAACTCGTTAAACCGGTTATATTTTTCTTCGATTTAATGGGAGTTGACTATATCTTTAAATAAATGAATAAATATAATATAGGTTAGCAGTCACATATTTTATCCATATTGTATATATTTAATTAAAGTACATCGAAGAAAAATACATGTATACATATATATATATAGTCGGTTTAACGAGAGTTGACTGTATCTAACGCTAACGCTAACACATGTACATGTATCACGCTACACCAAGTGTTTTGAAGAAGATTTTAACACCCATACATGTACTAACAAATGCAACCTCAAATATACGTAACGGTACGTAATACGTATAATATACATGTACATACATGTAATACAAAGTAGACTTTTTTGTATGTTCCGTATTATGAAAAAGTCAATGCACACATAAACATCCGGTTTCCCGCTGATAATTATCAATATAAAAAATATGAATTGTAATAAATTACAAGTATTTTCTCGCACCTTCATCTTTGCAGTTAGCAAGAACTTATCCTTTCCGCATCATCACCATCATCGTCAACATCGTCCACAATAATAATAATAGATATAACTATGGGGAATTCAAAATCAACTTTAAGCAAACAAAATATTAATTTGACAAATGAACGAGGAAAACAACAAAAAAATGATTTCAAAGAACCAATGAAAGAAATCTACAAATCAGAACATGAAATCGACCGGATGCAACGCGCCCACTTTACCCTCCAACATCTGTTTAGAAATAATTTCTCTTGTCCGATGGAAGAGACGCTAAAGATGGGAGGTCGTGTTTTAGATGGAGGGTAACTCACATTTATATGTTAAAGTCATTCTAAACTTAATTTAATTCGTTTTTCTTTTTATGTTTCGCTTTGATTTCTAAAGATGTGGGTCGGGAGCTTGGCTTCTTGACATGGCAATGCATTATCCAAACTCTCACTTCTTTGGTGTTGACATCGCAGAAATCTATCCGAGTCAAATAAAACTGGCAAATGTAAAGTTCCATCAGTGTGATTTGATGCAATTGGAACAATTAGGTTTTGAGAAAAACTCATTTCATATGATGCAAATAAAAAACATGCAGCTTGTGCTTGACGTAAAAGATTACGCACAAATAGTAGAGAAAATGCTAAAGTTGGTCATTTCTTCTATACGAATAAGTACTTGAATTGCAAGAGATGATGTTTACTCAAATATTATTTTCCATTATTATTTTACTTTGACAGATTATTAAAGCCGGGTGGATATTTTGAACTTTCGGAAGTAGAAATTATTTTCTCTGACTATGGACCAAATTTTACACGGATAATAAAAATGCGTAAGTTCAAAACCATTTGAGATTTTTATTTTGCATATTCAATCTTGTAAACCATAATCTCGACGATTTCAGTCGAAATGGGTCTTAAAAGAAGTACCGACCTAAATCTTGAAAAAATTTTTTTCGCCACCGAGCAAGTAATAAATATTCAACGAGAAACACGGGTAATAAAGCTTGGCCCTTCTGGTAACATCGTTGGAGAACTATATTTGACCAATCTCGAAGAATTTTTTACTGGTGATATTAAAGAGGTATTAATGGGGTTAATGGACATGACTCCAAAAGAATACGAAAACTTTTGGCAGCAATGTAAAGCTGAGTGTATTGAATTAGAAACCAGAATTACGTTTGCGAGAGTTTGGGGACAGAAAGCTGTCATATGATATGATTAAATTCTAAAAATTTAAAAACAAATACAATAAAACCTTATAGCGATAGATTAACTGAATAATTACGTTTAAAATCTGTAAATATTAAATGTAATTAGATTGAACTTTTTAATTGGATACCAAAGATTATATGAAGATTTAAATATTAGAATATGAAGGAAATTTAAGCAAAATCAGAATAAAAAATTATTATTTATGAATATAAATTATACACAGATACATATACGGTAAAACCTCTCTAAGTGCATCCCCCTCGGGATCATAATAAAAACAGGCAAAATGTGCACTTAGAGAGGGTATGCATTTATAGAGTAAGATATATATGTGTCTTATAACTAGTGCTCCAATCAGGTTGGGTCAAATCTGTGACCCGACCCGAACCGCACACTTCGATCGGGTCGGTGTCAAACCCGATCCGAAATATTTTGGGTCGGGTTTGACCCGACCCGACCCGAAATATTTCGGATCAGGCTAAAAATCGTTATTTCTCGTTCAATATTAATTAAGTTATTAACGAAAAACTACGATTTTCGGATCAAACCCGAACAGAGCTTTACTTATAACTTGGAACCAAGCCATACTGTGCATTTAGAGAGAATTTATATAGTGCGTGCATTTAGAGGATGCACTTGGAGAGGTTTTACTGTACATGCATATATAACAATAATATGCATAATTTAAAGACTTTTTGTATTTTTGTAGTGACATGACACTGTATATGGTGCAAACAGTCTAAAGCCATCCAATATATCCGATACTTTAAACTGTAAAGGATTTGCATCCAAACACTTTGATCACAAAAAAATACGTTATATTATAGTTCTTATCAAAGGTTATTTAACATGATTTTTTGTGATTAAAGTGTTTGGATGCAAATCCTTAAGTATTGGATATATTGGATGGCTTTAGACTGTTTGCACCATATCGATACCATGTGAAATTTTAATAGTGATCCGCATCCTTATGTTTTTCTTCTATATAAAGAGGTGCTTTCTCAAAAAAATCGATAGAATAAAGAGTTCTAAAAATAAATTTCCAATGCAATCATTTTCTCATATTTTTTGTTTAACTTTTTTACCCACAGCTATTGGATTATCTGTTCTCGCGACCGACTTAGATATCTCTATTAGCCAATGCAATTAAATCTCTTATTAGAACCGAATTATTCCATGGAACTGCTGAAGTTGGATTCAAAAAATATTGATTATTCTCTGATTATGAATTTTAAATTCCTTTTTTAAATAACTTTAAAGATTTTATCTCATAAACTTCAAATATAATTCAGAATGCTCAAAGATCTCTTGAATTATACGTATTATGTAAAAGTTTATCATCATTTTATTTTATTAATTATATAATACTATTTGATATTATTTGTTTAGAAAAACTAGTATAGAAATATTTTTACTGAGAAATCTGCTAGAACAATACAGAGAACTCTACCTAAATGCATTCTCTGGGAAACGATTCTTAGTATGCATTTAGAAAGGATGTTTATTTAAAGAAAAATATAATTTTAGATTATAAATAATTTTTTGAATATTAGTTTTCTGTAACTTCACATACATCAATTTTGCTTGGCCAATAAATTCACTTAATATCATCATTTGTCAAATATGCATGTGTAATATATGCCAATCACTTCTGTGCTTATTTCTGAATCTAAAGATCTTTGTTATTTTACTAGATTAGTACTATTATAATTTTAGGAAAAACATCAAAGAATTCTAATAACAGTAATTATAACAGACACTTTTCTCTGTGAAAAGCAAGAAAAAAGATATATATATTACTAAATACACTGAGTATCTATTTGCAAATGTACTTATATATATATAATATAAGTGATTTTATTAATCAAGCAAAATTAATATATTGTTACAGCGATTCTGAATAGTGGGTTTCACTGAGAATCACTATAAGCATATGATGTTGGGAGAGGGGCGATTAAACTTAAGTAAAGAGAATGA